ACTAATGGCATTCTTCTCCCCATCACTCAGATGCACCATTGTGTCTTCTTGGGGGGTTGCTAGCAAACACAAGTGTGTCAGAAGCAAGTGTAAGCAGCAGCTGGCCCTGCTCTGTCCTTTATGCCCAGCCTTGACTCCTGCATTCCCTGCCCTAATGAGCTCATTGGCCAAGACTAGGGTGTGGCCCTACAAGGTGAGGTTTGGATGATGACAGCCGTAACAGTCCTTGGCAGCTCTGGCACTGCCTTGGAGTCTGACTTCAGGCTCTCAGTCCTCCTTCTTCATATTACTGGTCCCATGCCAGTAGTTCAAGTTGGCCCTAAAATCATCCTCCTGGACAACTTTACTTCTATGAAGTTTGGAATAACTGTCTGGTAGGTCTATTAGAGATTATTTCCCTAATGTCTTATTCTATAAATTGGGAAAGGAAGCCCAGCAAAATAGAACATATTTGCCTGTTGTGGTTCAGCACAAGATTGTATGAAAGTAGCTCTTCCTGTTTCTGCAGAGTATGCAAAATAACCCACAGACAGAATGGATACAGCCTCTATTATGGTTCTAAGTATGTCTTCCTTCTCCTGGTTTGGATTAAATCCTCCTGGTAAGAAAATAAATATTCATTAATTCATTCATTTGTTGCTGTTTTTTCTGTGTGTGTTTGCATTAATTTGGTCACCTAATCAAATAAATGATGTTCCAAAAATAGAATAAATCTGAATCCAACCATATTTTGTGTAATAATTTCTTCATTAGGTTTTGTGGCCCAGACATGGAAACATAGAGACTGCCTAATACAGTAGAAATGAAAATTAATATAAAGCCATTTAAAACATGAAGTTGTGTATAGTATTAGCAGAAGCAACATTTTCAAATGGGAGATTAATGAGGGATGGTTCTACCTGGAGTCATCTGGGAAAATGTGAAAGCAGAGAAGATCCTCTGATTTAAATCTAGTAGTCAGAAGTGACAAGACATTCTGCCCTTGGCTATGATTTTCTTTCCCTGCTAAGCTTCTAGGAATGCTATGTTTTAGAATCATGTCCTTGGTTAAAATTATTGCCCTCAGTCTCTTTTTCTCTATATATGTTTTCTTTTTCTCTCCAGGTTTTCCAGTAGTGTTCCCCTTCCCCTTCTTTTTTGTACCACATAATACAGTGCTAAGTTCTCACGATAGAACAAACTTCTGAAGTGTAAAGTTTGGTTTTTGTTATTAGAAGACACAATTTAAAAAAAAAAAGCAAAGACAATCAACATTTTCCAATGACAGTATAAGATCTCAACTTTCCTGGAGGACTCTCTTAGTCATCTTTCCACTTTCTTTCATCTCTACCTCCTGGAATTTGTCCTTCAATTATATTCCCATTTCCGTTTAAAAAGGGGGCATGCTTTTTAATTTCTCTTATCATGTTTCTACTTTATAATCTCCTCCTGATTCTGGGACCCCAAAATGTAGAATCTTCCTTATTTTCCCTTGTTGTCCCTGGCAACACATGTTTCACAAAAATAGCTCATCCTCTCAGCTCTAATACTTTGAAACCCAATTACACTAATATTTTTAGGTAACCCTGAAAAAGAGGTATTCTGTATTTGTTGTTATTCCAAGGAAATTAACAAAATTTTTATTTTCTTTTTTTCTGGGATAAGAGGTCTTTCAAATATTTTAAATGATAAAAAAAGATTTAGCTTCACCTTTATCTTCTTGGGTTTTATTATATTAAAATCTGAATTAGTCTTATAACTGTTTTAGTCCAGATTATTTTCAGTATCCCTTTTTACATCTCTCTTGACAGAGGTCAAGTATGTAGATGGGGTATAAATGTGTTATGGGGAAATTCTGTTGCATCTTTTGCAAGGATCATATCCCTAAAACCTATATATCTTACTAGAAATGCTATAGAAAATTTTCATATTTTTCTGTAAAGAGCCAAACTGTCCAGGCTACAACTTTGCATTCTTCTTTGACAGAATTTAGCACTCTTTAAGATCCCCTTATCTTTTTCTGTGCTCTGAAATGTTTCTTCTAAATTCTATGTTGTTTCTTCCTCAATGACTGTCCTATGGCAACTCTCTTCTACTGTCAACTGCTGCAGATACTATCATCCAGGCCTCAGAACAGGGAAGCTGATTTGGGGACTGCTGCTCACTGTGACTTGTGTGGAATCAGAAATTTTCTTCAGTTGCCCGGTTCTGTACAGACAAGCCTGTAAGTTATCATGAGACTCTCAACAGCTCGGGTATAGATAGCCAAAACCAGTTATAAGAAATGATGAGTAGTGATAAATGTGGTTATGTTCCGAGCCTCAGGCTCAGATCTGGACCATTCAAGAATTCAAGTGGGGCTGGTTTCGTGGCTCAGTGGTAGAACATTTCTGCCATATATGTGAGGCACTGGGTTTGATCCTCAGCACTACATAAAAATAAATAAAAAAAATAAAGGTGTTGTGTCCATCTATAACTTTAAAATATATATTTAAAAAATAGAATTCAAGCTCCATGAGGCTCACTTTCCCCTTCACAGTTGTGAACTCACTTCGATCCTGTTGGTCCCTGATTCCAGCCCCCACTGACCACCCAATATACACACCGGCACAGGCAAGTACTAAAAACCCTAAAAAAAGAAAAAGAAGAAAAGACAAGTCTCAAAGTTTATTTGCTTTCCTCCAATTATTTAAGCTTTATTATTTCCTAATGTTCTGGACAAGAATGGGCCTAATCTGATTTTATCATCAGGATGAATATTAACTTCCTTCAAAAAAAATCAGGACACTCATCCATTGGAACATGGTATCATTATTTGTTTCAAAAATAACATTCAACTAGAATATTTTTGTATATGCTCTGCAGTTTAGTTTCCACTAATTCAAGCAAAGTCTAGCTACTTGCTACAGTCTTTTCTCCCACATGCACAATCTCTTGGTGACCTCAGCTTAACATCTTCCCAGAAAAAATAAAACAGCTACAAAGACAAGCAGAGTTCTAGAAAGAACCCCCCACATACACACAATAGTTTGAGAATTGATAGTTTCATTCATTTAAAAAAAAGCTATATCTCACTGGAAAGCAATGTAGTCAACAAAATAGAACATTGGTAAAATATATCTGATTATTACAGAACAATTGGCAGCCTACTCTAGAACATGCACACTGATGTTTTCTCCCTCAGGCTTACGTGCTCACTCAGCATGAGCTTCTGTTTATCTCATGAAGTGGACATGGTGTTGATGTATGCAGAGGGGCCAGCCATCTTTTCTAAAGCTAAATTGGACCTTCACCTCTTTAGAGCTAAAATCTTGGCTTCAGTATGTGAAAAATAATTACAAATATGTGAAAATAATTCACAAGGCCAAACCTTCAATGCCCTTCCCTAAGGCTAAAGACTTTGGTAATCTAGGAGAACATTATGATATATTCTCTTTATATTAAATTAAATTATTTTAAAACTTTCTGTGAAATGAAACTGACAATATTGCTTTCCTTCCACTCCCCTCTTAGACACACACACTCACACACACACCTCTTTTCACCTTGACCTCCCCACCATCAACGTGAAGATTCAGCGTCGGGATATAGTCATCATTCATGCTAAACAGGAAGTCCCATCAATGTCATGTTCTGAAATGTACAATGTGAGAATTTTTAGGCCTAACTTATTTCTTTTATTCAATATGGAAGGAATAGGAGAGGATGCATTACTAAAACATTCTTTTATTTTTTCCCTTTCCAAGATTATGACATCCATAATATCTTTATCTGCTTTGAAATACTCTCAAAGCCTCTTATGCTCCTCCTCATATCTGACTCTATGAGGACTTAATGATGCTCAGGAATGTGACAGTGATCTTCCTAAAATTTCCCTGGAATATCTCTGCTTCTGTGATATGAGTTTGTGGTTCTTGAAGATCCTACTCAGAAATGTTTGTCTGGACTGCTGTGTACAATGTCCTGAGAAGGAACACGTGGACATACCAGGGCCTCTGACCTTAGACGCAGTTGGAACCAATGAAGGGCAACTCATTGTCAATGTGTCTTGACAGAACTTGTGAAAGCTTTATAACAGAAGAAGATACCAGGGTTTGTTTAAGCTTTCAAGTAACTCAAAAAGTAACAAACAAGAGAATGATACAGATTTAAAGAAATGGATACAAGTTAGAAATTTCTACAAATCCATCTAAATTTACTGAGAGCAAAAACCACACACACAGGAATAAATGGAATTATCTAGGCAGAGAGCAAATGACTGATTTTAGAGAGCTTTAGTTTCTTGAATGAGATCCTTTCAATATTCAGATTGTCCTCCAACCTGGAATTTTTGATACAAGGAATAATGAGTCACTCATTTCATTGATTATTCCTCTGAATAAATGTTCAATTTATGTAAGAATTTGGTGCAAGGCACAGTGCAAGGCAAGATAAAAAAAATAAGTAGAAATGTTTAGGAAGGATGATATACATGGATGCAGAGTGGGAAAGAGAAGAATAGAAGGAAATACCAAGTCCAGGTATATGCATATATATTTGACTAATTAGTGTTATGGTGGGCTGTCTCTTAGCAACTATTGCTGCATTCCCCACCCTGGTGAGCAAAGTGGCCTAGGATTTGGCAGCTCTTTGGCTTGTAAGGATGAAGGTGTACCCACATTCTTCAGTTCACTTCAACTGGCTCTGACGTTGGCCATTCTAGCTTTTGTGTGTCTGAACTCTAAAATCTTGTGCTCCTTATGCTTATGTCCTAACCTCATCTCATTCAACATTTGCTTCTGCAACTATATCCCTAGTTTTATTTACAAATGTGACTTAGTTTGATAGAGTGGAAAGTCTTCTAGCATTGAACTCATCCAATTCAGTTATTTTATATATTTTATATATAGAAAAGCAAGTCTGGGGTTGGGAGTATGACTCAGTGGTAAAATGCTTGCCTTGCATGTGCAAGGCCCTAGGATTGACTTCCAGCACTGCAAAAAATAAAAAAGAAAATGAAAAGAAAACAAGTCTGTAGAGCAGGAATATTATCAATTAACTCTGTACAGATTTCCTCCTTGTCTCTAAGAATTTTTGATTCTAGGAGTATTTTGAAGTGGTATAATGAATAAATATTTTACCATAGCTTGAACCCTCTTTGTTCCTTATTTGGGTAATTCTTTCCTGCTACAAGACTCTTATTTTCTCTTCACTTTTTTTGAAATAAATGTCCATTAAAAGGATGAAAATTAAATGAAGTGTCTCTTTTACAGCTACCGAGATCACTTTTGGGAACATTCATAATAATAGGAATGTTTTAGTAAGAGATAAAAGAAAATACAGATACTTATAGTTTCTTAAAATTATGATAAAACTGGAGAAAGAACACAGAAGAAGAGCAAAGAAGATTTATCTCATTTGGTGAGATTACATCTGACAGGTTATCTAGGAAAATGATAGTACAGAATTTTTCACAAACGTATTCTTAAGAATCAAGTGGAGTTACATTCAGGGATGAATATTTAAAAGACATTTTAAAAATTTTTTCAACTCAAAGTAGTACTATAAAAGCAGAAAAATTCACATTCATCCTCATAGCAGGAAGGGGAAGAAGGGAGAAAGAAGGAGAAAAACAGGAAGGAAGAGAGTGAAAGAAGGGAATAAAAGGAATGAAAGGAAGAAAAAGGAAATGAAGAGAAGGATGAAGGAATGAAGGGATGGCTGGAGTGGAATGCAAGAAGAAGGGGGCAGAAAATAAAGGAAGGGAGAGGAGATGATGGTGCCATATTAGTGAAATTTATAAGTTGAATTAAAATAATCAGAGATAAAACACCAAACCATATGGTTTTATTTATATATAGAAAGGTCAACACTGTGGCTGGGGTTAGGATCTGAAGGGAAAGTTTGTATTCTAGGGTAGTGGAGAGGAGCCATGAATGATTTTAAACTATGTTATGGACTTTTTTCCCCTATAAACAGTAAGCAAAAAAAAAGGATTGAATAATTCAAGAAAGGAGATAGCATGACTTGATTTGTATTGTTAAAAGATTGTTCTCTCTTCTGTGTATGGTTGGATTTTAGAAGTGATTAAATAGGAACAGAGCTGAGGTGGTGTTGCAGTATGAAAGAAAATTCCACTGGCATCTTGATATTGAGCTATGCCAAGTTGGTGGTGCTGGTGTGAGGAGAGCAATACAAACAGAAGAAAAAGTTTGCTAGAGAAATGTTAGAATAAAATCAGGAGCTCAGTCTTGGGCTTATTCTATTTGATGTACTCTTGAGCAATCCAAAAGAAAATATTTAGATATTTAAGCTTGGAACTAAGAATATAGCCAGGTCAAGAGTACAGAATGGAGGAAAGCATACAGAAACACACCACAGTATGTTGTGTAAACCACTACCACTACCTGTTTAAAAATGACAGAAAGTGCTCTTTAGTAATACATCCTTGAAATTCTATGCCATTTGATGAGGTGGGGACTATCCCATCTGATAAGGAAGGAACTTGATTCTTTAAAATGTTAAGTAAACTTTTGAAGGACTCAGGGCTATCTTTTATCTTTATTAATTGTGAAGACTTGACTTTTAATTTCAATTCCCTTCTGCCTGTTATGATTTTACACAATAGGGATATATATATACACTAATGGATAGCCTTGAGAACATTTTTAAAGGGGGATGAAGTCTTAAAGTAGAATAGTTTCTATTCTTGTCCAATAAGGGCCTGGCTTTTGCAGAAAAAAATGGTGACAAAAGGAGAATTAGATTATTTATTACAGGGAAAGAAATAAGGAGAAGCCCGGATTAATTTAAGTTTCATGTTCTGATGAAAGGACAAGTTGATATCCAATTGACTGAAGTGGCAAACACTGGAAGTGAAATGGTTTCCATAGAAAAAGCGAAATGCCCATATTGAGTTCATGGCGCTTAACGGAGATCTGTGTGAAAGAGTTCAATAGACACTTTATTGTGTGGATTTGGCACTGAGATCAGAAATCAGAGCTGAAGATCAGACTTGAGAATTTTGATTATACAATTTATGTTTAATAATTTAGGTATAATCGATATACCAACGAAAGATATGTTGAATGCAAAAATAAGTGGATAAAGGAAAGAACTTTAGTAAGCACCCACCTTGAGTTTGAATCACAAGATATGAGATTACAGAACAAAGAGTGCTCAACAGCTTTAGAACTCAGAATTAATTTTAGTGAGCATAATATCAAGTTTGATCATGATGGAATTCAAATTACTATTGGTCTCGGAGAAGATGGGAGACAAAGCTCTGGATTTTGACAATGAAAAGCTTAATTACATTGTATCCTATAAATCTGTACAATTAAAATAATAATTAACTCAAAAACAATGGAAAAATAGGAAAGAACCCTGTGAATGATA